CTGCTGCTGTTGGCACAGCCCACAGGCAGTACTGAGCTGCTTAGAGGCAGCACCAGGGGCTTCTATTCTGCAAACTAACAGGAGCCTAGGAAAAAAGGAGTTTGTGGGGTTTGGCTTTATTTTTTTTATTAGTGAAACACCATGAGGTACAGTTGTAGATTTACAAATTTTTGTGCTTAGGTTTCAATTATACAATGATACAGTACCTATCCCTCCACCAGTGCCCATTCTCCATCATTTACATTTTTTTTAAATTTTTGTTAGTGAAGCACCATTAGGTACAGTTGTAGATTTACAAATTTTTGTGCTCGGGTTTCAATTGTACAATGATCAAACACCCATCCCTCCACCAGTGCCCATTTCCCACCTCTACGGGTCCCAGTATCCCTTCCACTCCCCCACATCCCCCCATCCCACCCTGCCTCTGTGGCAGGGTATTTTTGGCTTTATTTTTGAAGTGAATTTCACACCGTGTAAAATTCACTGCTCTATAAAATGAATCCGGAGGAAATACCAAAGGTCAATAAATGTGAAAAACACTTCTCTGCTTAAACAGTATGCTGTTCCCGAGGGAATCGTAGAACTCACTCCACAGCAGGGCATCACGTGAAGGGAGTCGAGCGCTTGAGGGAGAGACACTGGGAAGTCTCACCATGTGTGGAATGAGACGAGACGGGGGGGGCAGGGCGAGGATGCCAGTGTCAAACCCTTGGCCATGGCTTATAGAACTGTCAGCAAACAGCGGAAGGAGGGGATGACTATGGGAACAGAGGGACCCCGGGACAGTGGTCCCTGTGGTGTGTGGTGACCATTTGCCTTAACACCATTAGATCCATGCTACCAAAATTATAGTAAATATATATATATATATCTTTTGTTGCGGGGGGAGCACACCCGGCGATGCTCAGGTCTTAATTCCTGCCTCTGCACTCAGGGATCGCTCCTGATGGTGCTCGGAGGACCACATGGGGTGCTGGAAGTCGAACCCAGGTTGGCCACGTGTAAGGCAAGTCTCTCCCCACTGTACTATTGTTCCGGACCAGTAGAAAATAATTAAAAAATAAAAGTACCCTATTGAGGGATATGAAGCACAAGCACATCTCCTTCAGCTTCCAGAACATTCCATGGCCCCAGTGGAGCCCCATCCTCATGAGCTCCTTATGGGCAGTCCCTCCCTAGCTGCTGACCACTGTCCCCTGCTCCCTGAGTGGAAGGGGTCTGTCTCCTCTCTGGGATCTGGGAGCAGGGCTGTGTGCCCGGCTCTGTTCATGGGGGGTCAGCATGCAGGGTTCACCTGCACCTTGTTTGTGGACTACCAGTGGCTGAGGGCATCACCCTTCCTTCCTCAGCCCACAACACATCTGGGCTGTTTGCACCTTCCAGGCTGAGAGCTGTGTGGCCATGAATAACTGTGATAAACATTACCCTGATATCAAAAACGAGCCTTTGTTTAGATCCCTGTCCATTCTTTTGCATAGCCGGAAGTGAGTTACAGAGTCACGCTGTGGGAGCAGCAGATCCTCATACTGTGTGTTTGGGTTCAACCCACCAGCGCCTGTGGGCATTTGCCAGTGGCCAGCCTGGGGTGGGGTCCAGGTTTGTTGACACGGAAGTGTGTTTCTCACTAGTGGCAGTGCTGACACTGGGGTAGTAGTCTACTATTGGTGATGGTCTTAGGCCATTAAACAGCACTGCCCCCCCCAACTTTGATAATCTGAGGGAGGAGGCAAGGCTCAACCAGGAAACAGTTTCCGCACAAAATAATCCCAAATAGATGAATACCAAGACACATTGTGAAAAAATGGCAAAAACAAAGGACAGAGATAAAATCCTGAAAGCGAAGAGAAGAGCAAAGATTCAGATATAAGGGAAACCCCATAAGATTCACTCACAGTTGGTTATCAGATGGAAATCGGCAAGTAGGGAGAGAGCCCAACACATCCAACTCACCACATGGAACGGACACCCCAATGAGCGCACAGCCTCACCACTCAAAGTCGAAGGGAAAAAATCCTTGCATCTAAACAGTTCAAGGAATTTTTGGCCATGAAACCAACTTTGCCTGAACTAGAAGGATCTTCTATAAAAGCAGAGAAACTCCTTAGTTTCTTTATAGTAAAATCCAAATTCATTTGGAATAGAAAATACTTAAAAATATATAAACCGGGGCTGGAGCGATAGCACAATGGGGAGGGCGTTTGCCTTGCATGCAGCCGACCCAGGTTCGATTCCCAGCATCCCATATGGTCCCCCGAACACTGCCAGGAGTAATTCTTGAGTGCAAGAGCCAGGAGTAACCCCTGTGCATTGCCGGGTGTTACCCAAAAAGAAAAAAAAAAAATATATATATATAAATTTCAAAAGTTCAGGTCCAGATGGGTTCCTACCAAATGTGTTTCTTCTAACAAGACTTGTTCCTGGCTTTCTCAAGTTCTTCAAAAGTTTGAAGAAACAAGAATTCTTATTCTTGGCAACAATTGTCATGATATGGAAAGCAAATGAAAATATCTCCAAAAAATTAAAATACAGCTAGATAGAAATCCTGAAAAGAGTGATTGTGTGCAATTGATGCACTGAATGTGGAAAATCTGACAAAACAGCTGCCCATTTATGTCTCTGATCTCCAACACAAAACTGGAAGCACTCACCAGAAAAAGTAGGCAAGAAAAAGAAGAGACTCACATCTGAAGAAAAGTTCAACTACTATTCTTTGCAGGTAACACAAATACATACAAAAATCAGCATGGAAACAACTCAAATGCCTAGTGACAGTGACAGATGAGTAAATAAAGAAGGTGATGACCATGATATATAATAGAATACTACAGAGTCATCAAAAAGTTGCCTTTGCTGCAACAGGCTTGGAACTGGAAGGAATCACGATGAGCAAAATAAGCTAGAAGGATAAAGAAAAATGCCAGATGATCTCACCCAGAGATGGCGTCCAAAGACCCCAACACCCCACTAGGAATGATCCCTGAGGGTAGAGGCAGGATTAAGCCCTGAGAAACCACCAGATTTGGCTAAAAAATAGTGTTCAAAAACCCAACCCCTTAGAGGCTGATGACAGAACAAATGTGGAGTGGGCGGGGTGGGGGCGGGACAGGAAGGGTGAGAATTGGCAGGGAAGGAAGTGTGGACATTGGTGGAAGGACATTGGCACATTTGTGGTCCTGTTGGACCTCAACCCATATATATGTTGATACTTTCACAAACCAATGTCACCTTAGTAAAAATTGAAAACGAAGAGGCCGGAGTGATAGTACAGCAGGGAGGGGATTTGCCTGTATACAGCTGACCTGGGTCGATTCCTGGCATCGCACAGAGTCTCCTGAGCACTGCCAGGAACAATTCCTGAGTGCAGAGCCAGGAGCCATCCCTGAGCATCCCCAGGTGTGCTCCTCCCCAAAAAAAGAAAAGTAAATCCAGTGCCCAAATGTTCCACCCATGAAGATCAATCCCCTTCTCTGTTTCCTACTCAGATGGGCCGACCTGTCTGATCCAGTGTTCCCCGTTCTTCAGTTACTGGACACAATTCTTATTTATTTCAGTTTTTGAGGCCACACCCAGAGATGCTCAGGGCTTCCCCCTGGCTCTGCCCTCAGGAATGAGTCCTGCCTGGGCTTGGGGGACTGTGTGGAATGCCAGGGATCAAACCCTGGTCAGCCAGAGCAAGACAAATGCCCTCCCACTGTCCTCTTGCTCCGGCCCATCCACTTCCCATCACTGGCCTGGGCTCGGCCCCTGGTGGCATTTGCTGAAGCACCATGGCTGGTCCTGGGGTGTGCTGAGTCCCCGCTAATGAGACAGAGCTGACAAGTGTGTGTTGACTTTTAATGAGCCCCAGGGGTCTCTGAGAGTCTTGCCGCTGGTTAAGAACCGAGCAAAATTGGCTGGCGCTTTGGCGGCTGTGCTGACAGGGCACGGTCTGGCCCCGGCTGGTCCCGCAGGTGCATCTCATCAGCACAATCTCCACACCGGCAATGGGGACAGACTCCCCCGAGGACATGCCCAAAGGGCCAGCAGGGGCACAGGTGCAGACGGGCTCAGGGGGAGCGGCCCTGCCCTGCAATGTCCCAACGTGGGCGAACTCAGGAGTGGGTGACCCATTCTTTTTGAGTGTTCAGAACCCCACAGAGGGGGGACAGAGCAGTAGGACAGCGGGGACCATGTTTGCTTCATACCCGCATCCCACAGTGTCCCCCTACCCCCAGCACTGCCAGGAGTGAGGACTCCATGGCACACACGGGGCATGGTGGGGCCCAGGGCACCATCCCACCCACGTCGGCTCCCGTGCCCCCACCCGTGCCTGGCAACTCATCTCCAGGAGACACTTCCTGGTTTGCTGTGTCTGCTTCCACACAATTGTGCTCAGGGTCACTCTGGCTGGGCTCAGGCAGGTACAACCGGGCAGAGTCTCTCCCCAGCCCAGCCCTGAGGTTCTTTGAACACTTCTAAATTTTGTTTTGGAGCTACACCTGATGGTGCTCGGGGATCACTCCTGGTGGTGCTCGGGACTGTATGTGGCGCCAGGGATAGGACCTGGCTGGTTTCGTGCCAGGTGAGTGCTCGCCCCACAGTGCAGTGGCTCCTTCCCCTGCCTTGAGGTTCCTGACCCCCTGGTGCCCTGGGCGGAGCAGGGACCCCATCCCCTGCATCCCCTGTGGCGCTGTTTCCTTCCCTGGAGCCCAACCCCATCATTCCCAAAGACCCGGCGGCACTCAGCTGGTCTCTGTCCCCACACATCCCCCGGCTGTGCCAGCTGATGCAAGGAGATGGACACGAGCTTCCACACTCCCCGGCAGTTTCAAGTCTGTGCACGGGGCTGGACTGACTCCCCAGCTCTGACTGCCATGGCGCCCCTCCCATTCTGGAGGACAGTGTCCAGCAGGAAGCTGAGAGGCCTGCAGAGCTGTGGACAGGGCCTCCGTGTTCAGAGACCCCCCCCTCCACCCCCCGATCCAGGACCCCGTGGACAGGACGAGTCGTAGGCAGGGGAGCACACAGCTGTATTCTCTCTCGGGAGTCCACGTGGGGTCAGCGTGGTCAGCAGGCCTGGTCCAGTGGCTCCAGCCGCAGCCACAGCCCGCCCTCGGCACGCAGGATGAGCTCCGGCTTCCGGAGCGGCTCCTGCTCGTCGGGCAGCACGCGGAACCGCAGCAGCGTCAGCGCCAGCACCACCTTCATCTCGGTCATGGCGAACGTCTGCCCGATGCAGTTCCTGGGATGCAGATTTTTGTGGCTGGCGGCCAAGGACCCCCACACTCCCTTCCCAGACACCCAGGAGGGACAGGGCGGCACCGATGGGCCTCAGCTGCCCCTGCCAGGTGCCCCCAGCTCACCTGGGCCCCGCGGAGAAGGGGATAAAGGCCAGGGGGGACCTGTCCTTCATGTTCTCTGCCTCGAAGCGGAAGGGGTCATACACCTGGGGGTGGGGGCGAGACAGGGCTGATGGGGAGGGCCCCGCCACCTGGAGGGCCTGCCCACCCAAGGACCCAGAGAGGACACACAAGGGGATACAGCACCTCAGGGTCTGGCCACACGGACGGATTGTGGTGGGTCCCGAAAATACTGATGAGACAGATGACACCTGCGGGGAGCGGGCAGTGAGGGTCTCACCACCTTGCCACACCCACACACCTGCATGTCCACTCCCCCACCCCCATTCATGCCAGCTGCAGCACCTTTGGGGATGACCCGGCCGTCCGGGAGAGGCACATCCTGGGAGCAGCAGCGAGAGACAACAGTGACAGGCGGGTGCAGGCGGAGACTTTCCTTGATGCACATGGTCAGGAAGGGCAGCGAGGCCAGGTCGTCCCTGCACACAGACCCGCCTTGCCCCTGCACACAGAGCAGCCTCACCCCTACACAGAAACCTGCCTCACCCCTACATAAACCCCCCTCACCTCTGCACACAGACCAGCCTCCCCCCTACAAACAGACCAGATTCACCCCTGCACACAGACCCGCCACACCCAGGCACAGACCCATCTCAACCCTGCACACAGAACAGCCTCACCCCTACACAGAAACCTGCCTCACCCCTGAATACAGACCCGCTTCTCCCCTGCACAGAGACCAGCCTCACCCCTGCACAGACCCATCCGACCCCTGCACAGACCCACCTCACCCCTGCATCCAGACCAGACTCACCCAGCCACAGACCAGCTTCACACCTATATACAGACCAGCCTCACTCCTGCACACAGACCAACCTCACCCCTGCACAGACCAGCCTCACCCCTGCAAACAGAGCAGACTCACCCTACTCAGAAACCTGCCTCACCCCTGCACAGATCTGCCTCACCTCTGCAAACAGACCAACCTCACCCCTACACAAATTCACCTCACCCCTGCACACAGACCTGCTTCTCCCCTGCACAGAGACCAGTCTCACCCCTGCACAGACCCGCCCGACCCCTGCACAGACCCGCCTCACCCCTGTATACAGACCAAACTAACCCAGCCACAGACCAGTTTCACACCTACACACAGACCAGCTTCACCCCAGACCACAGATTCGCCTCACCCCTGCACAGACCCGCCTCACACCTGCATAAAGACCCGCCTCACCTGAGCACAGAACTGCCTCACCCCTGCACACAGAGCAGCCTCACCCCTACACAGAAACATGCCTCACCAATTCACAAGTCTGCCTCACCCCTGCACAGAGACCAACCTCACCCCTGCACAGACTTGCCTCACCCCTGAAAACAAAAGACTCACCCCTGCACAGAGACCAACCTCACCCCTGCAAAGACTCACCTCACCCCTGAAAACAGACCCGCCTCACCCCTGCACAGACCCACCTCTCCCCTGAAAGACCCGCCTCACCCGGGTACAGGCCCACCTCACCGCTGCACACAGATCAGCCTTACCCCTACACAGATCCATCTCAACCCTGCATACAGACCCACCTCACTCCTTCACACAGACCAGCCTCACCCCTGCAAAGACCCGCCTCCTGCACAAAAATCAGCCCCAGCCCTGCATAAACCAGCCTCCCCCTGCACACAGACCAGCCTCACTCTGCACACAGACCAGCCTCACCTCCACACATACCCACCTCACCTGGGCACAGACCCACCTCACCCCTGCACGAAGAACAGCCTCAGCCCTGCAAAGACCCACTTCACCCAGCACACAAACCCGCCTTACTGCTTCACAGACCCACTTCACCCCTGCAAACAGACCAGCCTCACCCCTGCACACAGACCAGCCTCACCCGGGCACAGACCCACCTTACCCCTACACATAGACCCGCCTCACTCCTGAACAGACCTGCCTCACCCCTGCATACAAACCTCCCCCGGGAAAGACCAGCCTCACCCCTGCACACAGACCCACCTCACCCCTGCACACAGACAAGTCTCACCCCTACACAGATCCACCTCACCCCTGCACACAGACCCACTTCACCCCTTTACACAGACCAGGATCACCCTTGCACAGACAGACCTGCCTCACCCCTGCACACAGACCTTTCTCACCCATGCACAAACCAGCCTCACTCCTGCACACAGACCAGCCTCACCCAAGCACACCAGCCTCACCCCTGCACACAGACCAGTCTCACCTCCGCACAGACTTGCCTCACCTCCGCACAGACTTGCCTCACCTCTGCACAGACCCGCCTCACCCCTGCACACAGACCCACGTCACCAGACACAGACCCATGTCACTGGGCACAGACCCGCCTCACCCATTGGGCCTGCTCCCCGACCTGGCTCACCACTCCAGCTCCTGGGGCTCCCGGCCCTGCAGCAGCGCCCCCACCTCCTGCCGGCAGCGCTCCTGGTGCTCTGGGTGCTTTGCCAGGTTGAACAGGACCCAGGACAGGCCGCTGGCTGTGGTGTCATGACCTGGGGGCAGTGTCTGTGTCAGGTCAGGGAGGACAGGGGGCTGCAGGGGCTGCCCCAGGGGGTGGGGGTCAGGGTAGAGGGTTGCTCACCCTCAAACATGAAGGTGTCAGCCTCAGCCCGGATGTCCTCATCTGACAGCTGCTTCCCGTCCTCGTCCTGGGAAGCCATCGCTGAGGTCACTGGCCCAGGAGACCACCCAGGTCCCTCCCCGGCCCAGGGCTCCCGCTTGGCCCTGCAATGTGGAACCCACTGACAGCCAGATGTTTGCCCAGAAGGGGAAAGTGTTTACGGAGGTTGGCAGAGACAGCTCACAGACCCCCCCCCCTCCCTGCAGAGAAGTGCTGCTGTGAACTGCTGGCTGGGCCTCCCCGCCCAGAGCTCTGAGCAGATCCCAGGGCATGCTCCCAGGTCCCCACCAGAGACGCAGTCATGCTCAGGGCAGGACAGGCTCGCACAGCGAGAGGAGCGCAGGGTACCAGCTGGGCCCAGAGACAGACGGACGCCAGGTGGCGGTGGGGAGGCGTGGACACACCTGGCTCTGCCCAGCGGGCTCCCCGGCCACCCCACTCGCCCTCCTGTTACCCCACGGCGCCAGGCCTTCCTGGCCCACCTGGGCCAGCAGCAGCACATCAATGAAGTCTAGCGTCTTGGCCTTGGCCTTGGCCCTGAGGAAGTCGTGGGAGCCCTGGGCGAGGAGAGCCTGGCGCCGCTCCTGGATGACTGCATCAGTGAAGGAGTGCACCAGGTGGCAGGCGCGGCGGAAGCGCCGCCCATCGGCCGTGAGATGGTACAGCAGGTCCCAGTGCAGGAGGAGCTGCTGGTGCCGCTTGGCCACGAGAGCGCTGAGCTCCAGGATGGCGGCAATGTACTCGCTGGGCTTCCTGAGGACCACGGGGGTGGGGTCAGGTTCTCCCCCACCCTGCAGACGCCGAGACCCCCACACACACCAGGAGACCCTGCATAACTGGAACATGCATGCATACACATGTGTACTCATGCATAGGGCATGCAGACATGTACATAGACATGCACATGGGTATGCACAGGGAAATGCATACACCCAGGTACACAGGCACACACATGTGCATGCAGACAGGCACAAGCATGCACACATGAACACATTCACCTGGGCACACACACTCACGCCCAGGGATGTTTGCAGCGTCAGGATGAAATCCAGCCACTGCAGCCCACCTGCTCTCCCCAACTGCTCCCCACCTCCTGCCCAGCCCCCATGGGGCCGCCCCATGCCTGGAGCACCTCATCTGATTATTGTTTTAGGCTTCAGGTGCTCCCACTGGTGCCCAGGATCCAGCAGGGCTCCACCTGGCTGACCACCTTCCAGCCCTCGCAAGGATCACACAGCGCTGAGCCCTCAGGAACCCTCTGGGCTGCACCCTCCCCTCCCTGCCTGCGTGAGCACGCACTCCTGACAGTTGCTGTCGAAACTGAAGACACACTTCTGCAGACTATCCAGTGTCATGAGGCTCACGTGTTCGAACATGTCCAGGCGGGCGCTACCCCTCGAAAGCAGGCGTGCCCACTTGGCCTGGAAGAGCAGAGGCAGGCTGGCAACAGTGCCCCTTGTTGGGCCCCCTGGACTGTCAGCTTGGTCTGGGAGAGACCCACTCCCACCGGGGCGGGTCCACTGTGCTCATGGTCCACCCCAGCCACACCAGAGTCCACGATGCTCACATGCATGGTGTCTGCACTCTGGCTGAAGATCTTCACGTAGGGCTTCAGGATGTTGAAGTGGAAGGCGGGAGTCAGCAGGCGACGGTGCCGGCCCCACTTGTCCCCTGCACTCAATAGCAGCCCGTCCCCTGCAGGGGCAGAGGTGAGGAGAGGCCAGCAGCACCTTCCTGCACCCCTGAGGTGGCCCCTGGCCCAGAGCCCAGACACTCACCCAGCCAGGGCTTCAGGAAGCTGTAGAAGAGCATGTCCTTGGGGGCGATCTCAGCTAAGGAAGGGCGACATCAGGGGTTGCAGGGGCTCCAGCAGGGGTCCGCACCCCTCCCTGCCCACCCACAACAAGTCTCAGGGCGGAGGGAGCAGGAAGTCGGAGGCAGGGCCAGACCAGGTTGCAGCTGACTGGAGCCAGCTAGCACGACCCGCACAGCTAACATGGTCCCACACGGCTTCTACATGCCTCCAAGACACAACACGGCACGCACAGCCTGACACGGCTTTCACATGGCACAGTTTGTCTGGGCACACGCGCACAAAGCCCCCACAGGCCGCCTCTGCAGTCGCCCGGCCTCACCAACAGCCCCGAGACATCGGACACGTCGCCCCATGCATGAGCAGGCACCAGCACCACATGGGGATGTGCCTGACTGACACGGAGAGCCTGACAGTCTCGGTGCATCCTGCAGGTGAACTGGCACCACTCACACTCACTCCCATGCCACCCACCTGCAGCCACCTCCAGCCGGAGCGAGATCAGCTCAATACGGCAGACAGACACACAGGCACACAAAGACACAGAGAGACAGACACACAGCGGCACAGACACACAACTAGACACATAAACACACATACTGACAGACTCAGAGACAGACACAGACGTGCAGACAGACATACAGACATACAGACAGACACACTGACACACAGGCATAGAGACAGACTGGGAGGAAGATACACAGATGTGCAGGCAGACGTACAGACGCCCTCCCCCCACCCCTCTGTTGTCCGGACAGACCAGCACAGGTGCACACAGCATGAGCACCCTCATGATCAGACATAGCCGTGGGCAAGAGTGTCCAGGGGACACCAAGGCAGGCTGCCCCCGGGTACCTGGGGCAAAGAGTATGGGCTTGATGCAGGTGGGGCAGAAGACGCGGATGACGGCGTGGCAGGGCCCCACCCACCAGCAGCAGACGTCCCCGTAGGTGCTGGCCAGGCCCTGCGTGTACTGAAGGCCCTTCTCCGAGCTCTGAATCTGTGGGACAGACACTGCTCGCATCCCTCTAGGTGGCCAGAAGGACAGACGGACGACCAGGACCTGGCCTGCTGCGAGGGTCTGTGGTCCTGCCTTCACCCTCACAGCCAGCGGGGATGGGGGGTGGGGCTCCCTCTGACTCCACACCACGTCTCTGCTCTGCGCCCAGGCCAGGTGACCCCACCCGCAGACGCACTGGCTGCAGCCTGCTTGGAGTCCAGCCCTGTCGTGTCCCACCGTGGGCCCAGCACGAGCAGCATCCAGCATCTGTGTGAGGGACAGTCAGAGGCACTCCCCAGCGAGGGACTGAGCCCTGGTCAGGTCACAGGAAAGTGTCCTGCAGAGTTTTCTGGAACAGCCAGGGAAAGTTCACTTTCCATGGGGCTGAGCTCCTGGGTTCATCTTTCTCAGTTAGCAAGACCATGAAGACAGATTTCCAGGACAGCACTGGCCACTTGGATCCCTCTGTGCCTGAAGGCCACCGCCCCTGAACTGGACGGTTGGGAGATGGACCCTGGAGCCTCCCCTGGCTAGAGTGCTGGAGACCTGCTCCAGCTGAGACTAATCCCGCATTTTCTTGATCGGGACAAAGGAGAAAATTCCATTTCTTTGTGTAGCCCATTTGGAGTGGAAATTCCACGCTTCCAGCTGAGGGCAACCTTGACAGAGAGAGAGAGAGAGCTGGGCCCAGCCCTGGGGTCATCCGGCATGTGCGGGATGCTGTCCACTGCCCTGGTCTTCTGGGCATGCTGGGGAGGGTCTCAGGGGGCACAGACGCCTCAGGGCCTGAGTTCCAGGAGTATGTTGGAGCCTGGAGCCGAGGGGTGATGGGGGGACAAAGGCGCCAACCTCCAGAGGCCGAGCTCGGCTCTGACCCCCACCAGCCAGAGACCCTGTTGTTCTGGTTGCTGGTCAGTGCTCTCTGCTCATTGCTCCATGACTCCTCCTCCAGGAAGCCTGACCCACCTTTGCTTCTCCACAGTCACCGCCAGCTGCCTCTGACCCCTTCCTAGCTCTGCCCAAGACAGAGGCTTGGTTCCTCAAAGGGCGGGGAGGGTCAGTATGCATGCAGGGAGGAAGGGAGAAGAGCAGGGGGTCAGAGTGCATGCAGGGAGGGGGAGGTGGTGGAGAGGAAGGAGGGGCCAGGGTCCTGCAGGGAGGAACGAAGCTGGATGGGGGTTGGACCCTCGGGTGCCACAGCACCCACCACCTCAAGCCCTGCCGGGTACCTGAGGCATTGGTGACAGGCCGGACTATGTCAGGGTGGCAGAGGGTGACGAGGGGAAGAACGGGGCCCAGCCACAGCATGAAGCCCTGGCAGTGGGCGGCCACCATCTGGGTGATGCTCCGCAGGCCCTGCTCCGTGGGGTGAATCTGCAGAAAGGGGGCGTCATGCTGGGGGTCCCAAGAGTGCAGGGACACGGGTCTGTGGGAGGGACACGGAGTCTGCAGGACACGGGGCCTGTGGGACACAGGGTCCTGTCCCTATCCCAGGCGCTGCAGAGCCCTGGGTGTCCCGGGCTGTGGGTGAGCAAGAATTGCGGGCAGGCATGGCCCGGAAGGAGATAGCGGCTCGAAAGGGGAAGTGATGACCCACACTTTCCAGTTGGGCAACTTCCCTGTTGGGACACCTGAGAGAGGAGCAGACAGGGCTGGGGGCTCTGGGCAGGCAGGGAGGGGGTCCGCGGAGGGACGCGCGGGCCAGGACCTGTGCCAAATTCGGGGACACAGCAGCTGGGCAGAGATCAGCATCCAACAAGGACAGAGCAGAGGGTGAGGGAGGAGAAAGGGGCCTAACCCCACTCACAGCCCTGACCCCTGACCCCTGACCCCTGACCCCTTCCCCGCTGCAGCTCCTCCACCCCCAACACCCAGCCCCTGGCTGCACTCACCAGGCCCAGGTGCCCCCAGAACCAGCTCCGCCTGGGGGGCTGCGGGAAGCAGCGCAGACGCCGGCACAGGTCCTGGAAGGCCCAGGCCCAGGCCAGGACACGGGCCAGCAGCCAGGCAGCCCCGGTCAGCAGCAGCAGCGGCCACAGGGCCGGGCCCAGCCAGGTCAGGCTTGCCGGCAGCATCTTGCAGGCTGGGGGAACGAGGGACACAGGGTCGGGGGGCTGGAGACAGAGACGGGGCCTCAGGCAGGGGGGACAGGAAGGGGAGAGAGATGGAGAAAACTCAGGGCAAGTGGGGAGACAGACATTCACCCACAGGACACAGGGCAGCCAGTCCGCCCCTGCCGTCTGCCCCCCCTCCATCCTGCCCAGCCTGGTACCCCTGGTGGGGCGCCCGCCTCTCTCTCCTCCCCCTGCCCCCTGCCCAGCCCGGTACCCCAGGTGGAGAGTTTGTTTCACAGCTCCTGAGTCCTCCTGTGGGAAGTGTCTGCCCTTGTTCCCTTGTGGGGCGCTGGCACAGGGCAGCAGTGACCAATGGGCACACTGGTCTCTCTCCTCCCCGCGGGCAGCCTGCCCAGGCAGGGGAGGGGCCACTGCTGCCAGGCCCAGGAGGGGTCACTGCAGGAAGGCCCAGTCCCTCCCCCAGGCCAGGCGGCCACTGTCCACACGATCCGCGCTGGGGCACCAGCCGCCTTGCCCCAGAGTGGCCGGCACTGAGCGTCATTGCTCAGAGCTGAAGAGGAAGAAGGGGCCTGAGCACAGGGCGGCAGGAGCTCAGGGCCAGTGTCCAGTGCTGGGCTGAGCAGGAACAAAGGAACCGGCCTGGCTGGAGATTACCCGCGCCGGGTTCTGGCCACGGATCCCGTGGGAAAGTCCCGGCCTAGGCGGTGCGGTCCGGGGGATCCCGCATGTCCACCTGGACGTCAAGTTCTATGTTCACACATAGTCACACGCAGGCGCAGACCTGCGCGCACGCAGACGTGCAAGTACACCCCCCCACGGGCGCACGGGCGCATGGCCGCGCCTCCGCCCCGCCCTGCACACGCACACAGCCGCACGCGCACCTGTGCGGGAGCCACGGGCGGAAACTGACCCGGGGTCCTGGTATTCCTAAAGCGTCCAGCAGATGGCGCCATTGACACGCGCCCGGGGGAGTGGCCCAGGGACAATCTGGGATCCTCTGGACAGGTGGCCTGGGTGAGAGCCTCGCAGGTGTCACCAGGTCGGGAAGGGCAGGGGGACTCGGAGCCCAGGACTCCTCCAAGCCCCACAGCTAAGCTTCAGTGAGTAAGATAAGGGCCCAGAAGGGCCCTGATCGGCAGCTCACACCTGCCGGCTTGGAGAACGAGGGTTTTAGGGTCCCACGACGAACACCCCAACTCCTGGCAGCTCCTGTGCCCTGAGCTGGCCGTGGGCGTGGGCACAGAGCCTGGTGACCCCACCTGCAAACCCCCCTCCCTGAGATTAGGGCAGCTCTCCACACACACACACCTGGAAATGGCCTCTCTTGCCTGCCCGTGGATACGCAGAGGGGTGACCAGCACCCCAACTCCCACAGGTCGACAGGAAAGCTGATCCCCACCTTTTAAAACCCCTGGAAACCTAAGCGTTTTCTGTTACAGGGGTTAAACTCCCACTTCTCAAAGCAAAGCTGGATGATTGCCCAACTTCAGAGGTTAATCATTGACCGGAGCCGCAGCCATAGTACAGTGGGGAGGATGCTTGTCTTTCACGCAGTTGACCTGGGTTCGATCCCCGGTCTCCCATAAGATCCCCCGAGCACTGCCAGGAGTGATCCCTGAGTGCAGAGCCACGAGTCAGCCCTGAGCATCACCAGGTGGTCCCGAAACAAAACCAAACAGGTAAGTCATAATAATAATGGGCCTTAAAAAGGCAGCAAAGAATTGGGGAGAGAGGACAGAGCCAGAGAGCAGCTGGGCAGGGTCTGTACTGTTTATGAGGCGCGTTTGGCAGTGCCGGGCCAAGCGGTATAGAGGGACTAGGAGGAGGACACAGCCCAATGAGCATCAAGAAGGGCCAGGGGGTCAGGCGAGGTCCACTTCCTGTAAGCCCCATCTGCGCCCATGGTGGCCCCCCGCGGAGCGGCCACGGCCAAACAGCAGAGACTGTAGAGTCAGCGGATGGAGGCCGTCCTGGGGCGCCTTGAACACAAACCCCACCAGGGTGCCCCTCCACATCCCCCCTCCCGCTCCTCCCTCTCAGGCGCTCCCACAGCCCCATCAGAACAGATGAAGCTCCCGCTGGACTCTGGACGCACCATGGCCAGCACGAGGCTCAGAGCCCCACTCCATCCCACTGTCCCCTGGGTCCCTGCTGCCGGCCCAGAACCACGGCAGGGGAGCACACAGCTGTATTCTCTCTCGGGCGTCCACAGAGGGTCAGCGCGGTCAGTGGGCCTGGTCCAGCAGCTCCAGCCGCAGCCACAGCCCGCCCTCGGCACGCAGGATGAGCTCCGGCTTCCGGCGCGGCTCCTGCTCGTCGGGCAGCACGCGGAACCGCAGCAGCGTCAGCGCCAGCACCACCTTCATCTCGGTCATGGCAAACGTCTGCCCGATGCAGTTCCTGGGACGCAGGTTTTTGTGGTTGGCGGCCAAGAACCCCCACACTCCCTTCCCAGACACCCAGGAGGGACAGGGCGGCACCGATGTGCCTCAGCTGTCCCTACCAGGCGCCCCCAGCTCACCTGGGCCCCGCAGAGAAGGGGATGAAGGCCAGCGGGGGTCTGTCCTTCACGTTCTCTGCCTCGAAGCGGAAGGGGTCGTACACCTGGGGGTGCAGAGAGGCAAAGGGTCCTATCCTGGGGCATCCGACACCCCCCGGACAGTGGATGTGGGGGGCATGCAGGGAGAGGCACCTTGGGGTTCGGCCAGATGGACGGGTTGTAATGGATTCCGAAGATGCTGATGACAGAGATGATCCCTGTGGGGGAGGGGCATCAGTACAGACCACTAGGCAGGACCTGCTGCCCCCACTCCCAACCACCACAGCACCTTTAGGGATGACCCGGCCATCCGGGAGAGGCACATCCTGGGAGCAGCAGCGAGAGACAACAGTGACAGGCGGGTGCAGGCGAAGACTTTCCTTGATGCACATGGTCAGGAAGGGCAGTGAAGCCAGGTCGTCCCTGCACACAGACCTGCCTCACCCCTGCACTGGACTCACCTCACCCCTGCACAGACCCGCCTCACCCCTGCACACAGAACCGCCTCAACCCTGCACACAGACCTGCCTCACCCCTGCAGAGAGACCAGCCTTTGCCCTGCACATACCCGCCTCACCCCTGCATACAGACCCACTTCACCCAGGCATAGACCCGCCTCACCCCTGCAAATCCACCTCATCCCTGCACACAGACCCACCTCACCCCTGCACACAGACCCGCCTCATCCCTGCACAGATCCACTTCACCCCTGCACACAAACCTGCCTCACCCCTTCATACAGACCAGCCTCACCTGTGCACGCAGACCCACCTCACCCAGGCGTAGATCTGCCTCACCCCTGCACACAGACCAGCCTCACCTCTGCACAGACTCGCCTCACCCCTGCACACAGACCCTCCTCACCCCTGCACACACACCAGCCTCACCTCCACACAGACCTGCCTTACCCAGGCACAGGCCCGCCTCACTCCTAGACCTGCTCCCTGGCCTGGCTCACCACTCTAGCTCCTGGGGCTCCCGGCCCTGCAGCAGCGCCCCCACCTCCTGCCGGCAGCGCTCCTGGTGCTCAGGGTGCTTTGCCAGGTTGAACAGGACCCAGGACAGGCCGCTGGCTGTGGTGTCGTGGCCTGGGGGCAGTGTCTGTGTCAGGTCAGGGAGGACAGGGGGCTGCAGGGGCTGCCCCAGGGGGTGGGGGTCAGAGTAGAGGGTTGCTCACCCTCAAACATGAAGGTGTCAGCCTCGGCCCGGATGTCCTCATCCGACAGCTGCTTCCCGTCCTCGTCCTGGGGAGCCATCGCTGAGGTCACTGGCCCAGGAGCCCACCCAGGCCCCTCCCTGGCCCAGGGCTTCCGCTTAGCCCTACAGTGTGGAACCCACCGACAGCCAGAAGTTTGGGGAAAAGTGTTTACAGAGGCGAGAAGAGACAGCTCACAGACCCTCTCCCTGCAGAGAAGCGCTGCTATGAACTGCCTGCTGGGCCTCCCCACCCAGAGCTATGAGCAAATCCCAGGGCATGCTCCCAGGTCCCCACCGGGCTCCCATGCAGCCATGCCCAGGGCAGGAACAGGCTCGCACAGCGAGAGGAGCGAGAGGAGCGCAGGGTACCAGCTGGGCCCAGAGACAGATGGACACCAGGTGGCAGTGGGGAGGCGTGGACACACCTGGCTCTGACCAGCGGGCTCCCCGGCCACCCCACTCGCCCTCCTGTTACCCCACGGCGCCAAGCCTTCCTGGCCCACCTGGGCCAGCAGCAGCACATCAATGAAGTCTAGCGTCTTGGCCTTGGCCTTGGCCCTGAGGAAGTCGTGGGAGCCCTGGGCGAGGAGGGCCTGGCGCCGCTCCTGGATGACGGCATCGGTGAAGGAGTGCACCAGGCGGCAGGCGCGGCGGAAGCGCCGCCCGTCGGCCGTGAGGCGGTACAGCGGGTCCCAGTGCAGGAGGAGCTGCTGCAGCCGCTTGGTCACGAGAGCACTGAGCTCCAGGATGGCGGCGATGTACTCACTGGGCTTCCTGCGCTCAACCCAAAGGAGGCCTGTCCGCAGCTCCCCAGCAGGACAGGGCACCGCGGACCGGGTGTCCCCCTTGTCCCGGCTCCGTGCACCAAGACAGGGTCAACCCTGTACCTCCCGCTCACTCCTCCCTTCCTGCTGTGGGGTCCCCAGTCTCCCCTCGATGGTCCCCTGGGCCTGGCCCCATGCCAGGCTCCTTCTACAGCCCAGTGTCCAGCCTCTGATCATCATTCAGGGGCCATATCTCTCTGCTTGCCTCAGGGTAAAGTCTAGCTATCTCCAGGATAGAGGCCCTGCCTCTTCCCTTCCTCCCTGCCTCCAGCCCAGGCTGAGCCCTCAGGAACCCTCCCCCTTGCCCACCCACGTGATCACTCACTCCTGACAGTTGCTATCAAAACTGAAGACGCACTTCTGCAGACTGTCCAGCGTCATGAGGCTCACATGCTCGAACATGTCCAGGCGGGCACTGCCCCCTGACAGCAGGCGTGCCCACTTGGCCTGGAAGAGGGGGGACAGCCTGGGACCGGTGGCCCCTCCAGGAGCCCCAACCCACAGGGACCTTCCGGGACGCTGTTCTGGGCACTGTTCGGGTGGCACATGGCTACCGCACACAAGGATCAGGTGTCCATAACACCCCTCACCCCACAGCACCTGGCCTGCCTCTGCAGGCAGGAACAGCCACTGGGACCCGCACCCCAGTCCCCCCTGCTCCCGCCAGGCCTGAGGGACACACGTGCATAGTGTCCGCGCTCTGGCCGAAGATCTTCACGTAGGCCTTCAGGATGTTGGAGTGGAAGGCAGGCGTCAGCAGGCGACGGTGCCGGCTCCACTTGTCCCCCGCACTCAGCAGCAGCCCATCCCCTGCAGGAGCAGAGGTGAGGAGAGGCCGACAGCACCTTCCTGCACCCCTGAGGCAGCCCCCGGGCCGGAGCCCAGACACTCACCCAACCAGGGCTTCAGGAAGCCATAGAACAGCATGTCCTTGGGGGCAGCGCTGGCTGGCATGAGACAAAGACCATCGGGGCCCTGGCAGGAAGAAGGGGGGTCCTCACCCCACCCCTGCCTACCTGGATGGGTCTTGGGAAAGAGGGAGCAGGGGGAGGGCCAGACCAGGTTGCAGCCCTGCACACAGAGCGTCTCTGCACAGCACAGCCAAACACAACTGCCACAAAAGACATGGAAAGCACACAGCCCAGCACAGCACAGCCTGGTATGACATGCCCACAGGCTTCTGCATGGCACGGCACCCAACAGGCCTGAGGTAGTCAACACAGCATCTACACAGCACAGAGTGCTCCAGACAAGCTGCCCTCCCCAGCAGGAGCTGGCCCAGGTGGTCTGGCGGTCACGTTGGACACGGCCCCACAGGCCATGATGTGCCCTGACTTCACGCATGGGCTGACATAGCCTCGGTGTGCGTCACAGACGGGCCCAGGGCAGAGGGAAACAGATGCCTGCGTGTCCACACAGAAGGTCAGAGCTCCTGCGAGAGTGACCCCCATGGAGACCCGCCCCTGCCCCCCAGAGGCCCTGCAGGTCCCATGACCTTGGGAAATCAGTGACCTTGGGAAGTCACTGTGCTTCCTGCGCCCACTTCCCCTGTCCAGCGAGTGTCCATCTACCTAGGATGCTGGCAGATGGATATTCATGGGCTCTGCCCGTCACCCTAACCACCCCCTGCTCAGACTAGTGGGCTCTGCCAGCCCACCCCCCCACCTACTCCAAACTGATCCTGACCCTCAGCCCTCAGATCCAACTGCCTCCTGCAGGGGCCGAAACAATAGGACAGCAGGGAGGGTATCTGCCCTGCACACAGCAGACCCAGTTTCTACTCCCGCCAACCCACATGGCCCCTCTGAGCCCACCAGCAGTGATCCCTGAGCACAGAGCCAAGGTAAGTCTGGAACACTGTTGGGTATGCCCCCCACCAAAAATAAATCTGTTTACTGCCTCCCCTGGCCCTCACTCTCTTCATCTGTCTCTTGAGGTAATAGATACATAATTAATGGATAGGTGACATATAGACAATAGAAAGTAATAAGGAGTTAGATGGGTGGGGGTGGATGGGAGCTAGGGAGGGGGTGGGGGATGGTGGGTGGTGGATGGGGGGTGGGGGGATGGGGGATGGATGGGGGATGGAGGATGGGTGGAGAGTTAGATAATAGATAAATAGGTGGGAATTGTTTGTCTGCTCAGGCCTACAGCTTCCCTGGGTGTTCACTGCTCCGTAGGTGAGCTTCTAGGACCCGTCTCTCAGCGTGAGAGTGCAGAAGCCATCTCAGAGGAAAGTAGGAGGTGACGCAGGGTCCCAGTGACACTGACTGAGACTGGATCCAGTCATGCCGAAGGCAACAGTCCTAGGTCCCCTGTCTCTACTCAGACCTCACGATGTCCTGTGTCCACCAAGCTGTGAGTTCACCAGGCAACCCTGAGAGAGTCCCTGTCAGCGGGTGGGGAAGCCCCTTCCCTCGCTCAGTCTGATCTGGCCACAGTGGGAGGAGCTGGGCGGGGGGGGGGGGGGGGGTGCTGTGAGCTTCCTGGGGAGATACCTGGGGCCTGGAGCAAGGGGGCCACAAACTTAGGGTGCACAAGCCGCAGGATAGGGTGCAAGGGCCCCATCCACCAGAGGTGCAGGTCTTGGAAAGAGTGTCCCAGCTCCTCCACCAGCCGCAGGCCCTCTTCGTTGCTCTTCACCTGGGGCGGGCAAGTGAGGCCAGGGCTGGTAAGACCCTTCTGGTGAGGGGCCAGCCAGCCACCTGCCCAGACACCCCACACAGCCTGATGGAACCCAGGGAGACAGGGAGGCGCTCCTCACTGAGGACTGTGGGGGTGGGCAGGGGTGGCCACGATAGGCAGAGGGGGCAGCATGGCCACAGACATCCTTTCCACTGCCCTGAGCTGGCAGAGAGTATCTGGGACCTTCCAGATAAGCTCCGGACACCCTGTCATATTGGAGTTTGGTTTGTGGGGGTGGACGGGAACAGAGGGAATTGATAAAGGGACTTTATGGCTTCTCCGCTCGACCAAGGACTCTTCAGACCCTGACCCCTGACCCCTTTCCTGCCGCAGCTCTTCACGCCCCCAACACCCGGCCCCTGGCTGCACTCACCAGGCCCAGGTGCCCCCAGAACCAGCTCCGCCTGGGGGGCTGCGGGAAGCAGCGCAGACGCCAGCACAGGTCCCGGAAGGCCCAGGCCCAGGCCAGGACACGGGCCAGCAGCCAGGCAGCCCCAGTCAGCAGCAGCAGCGGCCACAGGGCCGGGCCCAGGCAGGTCAGGCTTGCCGGCAGCATCGCACAGGTTGGGGGTTGAAGGACACAGGGTGGGGGTGGGGGCTGGAGGCAGAGGGGGACGGGGCGGCAGGAGGTTGGGAACTCCAGAGGAACCAGAACAAGGACAGAGCAGGCGGAGAGTCACAGCCCCAGCACGTGTTTACACGTGTAAACAGAGGGACTGTGTTTACCAGAGAGTGTGCTCCCTGGAGCCAGCCAGGCCTGCGCAGCAGCTCCGGATCCTTCTCCAGAGACTCCTGGTCCCGCCTCCTCCGGGCCACCGACCTCAGAGTTCCAGCCAATCCCAGGGGTCCGGAAGCTGTGCCCCACTGGCAACCACCCAGGCCGGCCAGGAACTGGGAGTAAGTTCAGCTGCAGGCGCGGGAGCCCAAGATTCAGCCCTGCCAAGGCTCTGGCTCTCGGCCCAATTCACAGCCTCCCCGGCCGGGCAGAGCCCACACAGTCTAGCCAGCCTTGCTCAAATGCCCAGCACGACCCCCCTGCAGGACACCAGGAAGGCCAGGGAGCCCCAGCGTGGGCAAAGCCTGGCAGGCACCCAGTGCAGGGTGAAGGAGCAGGAATCAAGGTGCCCAGAACTACCACCCCCAGGCACCTGGACACCCCCTTGCCATCCCTGCCTCCCCGCCTTCCCCAACAGAGCAGGAGCTGGGTGGACAGACAGAGCCCACGGTACCTTGGAGTCAGCTGTCCAGCACCCACCTCTCCAGGGGAGGAGCTGCTGCTCAGAGAGGGCAGATGAGGGCCACAGTGTGGAGCCATGGCCCTGAACAAGAGGAAAGACTAGGAGATGCTCACACACACATGGACACAAACACACTTACACACTCACACTCACACACTCACACAGTCACACTCACTGACCACACACACACACTCACTGACCACACACACACACACTCATAGACTACATACACTCACACTCACAGACCATGAACACTCACAGACCACACACACACACTGACCACACACACACTCATAGACTACACACTCACACACTCACAGAACATGAACACTCACAGACTACACACACACACTGACCACACACACACTCATAGACCACACACTCACACACTCGCAGACCATGAACACTCACAGACCAGACACACACACACTGACCACACACACTCACAGATCACACAATCACACTCACAGACCATGAACACTCACAGACCACACACACACTCATAGACCACACACTCACACACACTCACAGACCATACACACACACTGACCACACACACTCACAGACCACACACACACACTGACCACACACATACACACTCACACTGGCCACACACACTCACAGGCCATATGCACACAGACAAGTCACACACATGCTTGCATGCATATACAACCTCACACACACAAGCACACAAGCTCACAAAATTACACAGTCACTCCCATTGACATGCATGCACACACAGCCACACAAACACGTGTACAGGGTGTGCCCAGAATCATGCTCATTTGGCTGCACACAAAGACGTGCTCACCAGGGGATTGCCCTGCCACAGAGGCAGGGGGGGATGGGGGGATGGGGGGGGATATTATCCATGGTGGTGGAAAATGGGCACTGGTGGAGGGATGGGTATCTGATCATTGTATAATCAAACCCAAGCACAAAAAATTGTAAATCTACAACTGTACCTCATGGTGTTTCACTAATAAAAAAAAAAGAAAAAAAAAGACGTGCTCACATGCACCCTCTGTGCACGCATACACCACACTTATGTATGCATGTACACACGCCTGCGCAGGGTGGCAATGGCACAGACACAATCTGATACGCACATGCCAGCTCACACAGGTTCCATTGCAGCCAGACACAAGAGCCTGTTGTTCTACAAGCTTCCGGCAGAGGGCGCCGCCAACTCACACAGGAGGCGAGCGGCCGGTGACTGCGAGGTGGAGCTGGGTGACTGATCTAGGCACGCTGGAGCACTGGGAGCAGAGTCCCATCGAAGTCCCAGTCTCCCCGCCTTCCTTCCAAACTCATGCACTGTCAAGCTCCTCCCTGGGAAGCCAGAGTGGTTTGCAAACATGTTGATCCTGCAAAATCCTCCCTGGGCAAGACCAGGCACAGGCTCATGCCAAGGCCTCCAGGGCTGGTGTCACCTCCAGACCAAGCGTGTTTCCTGGTGGGGGCTGTGACTAACCAGGTGAACCTTTGGAGCTGGGCTCCATCTGAGCCCAGGTAATGCTGAGCACTGTCCTGGTGTCCCTATCTCTCTGGAAGCGCTTGTCCTTGATACAAAGGCCCAAATCCAGCCCAGCTCACACAGATGAGCTAGCAAGGTTTGCTGAATTATAGGGCTATTGGCTAGTTTGGTTTTGCATCACCTCTATCAGCATCTCCATCTAGTAACACACACATAATCTCGGGAGGGGGGACCCATACAGGCGGACACAAGCACTCCTAGAGACACACACACACACACACACACACGCATGCACACACGCATGCATGCACACACATGCGCACATGCGGGGTCAACATCACCAGCCCCGATACCTGCTCCCATCCAGAAGAATCTGGGCCAGACCCAGCCCCTCTGACACTTCCTGTCCCTCTGCCCACGCCCTCCCCGCTCAGCCTCGCCTCCCACCTCCCCAACAGGTCCTGCAGGTGCTCTCCCTCAGAGCACTGGCCATGTGTGGCAGGAGTACAGGAGATGATTTCTTCAACGCCTACATCCTGTCCAGCCCAGGGCAGGGACCGGCCATCCCACTGCCCCGCCCAGGGCCTGCAGCACTTAACAGGACTGTGTGTGTTGCTCACTTTTATTTTACAAAAATCAGGACAGTCCCAAGAGCCTTGGAGCAAGGGAGGTAGGATGGGCCACTGCAGTTCAGGTGGGCTGTGCAGGGAAGGGGGCTCCAGAGAGTGAAGTCAGGACCTCAGCTCCTAGTCCACAGTAAGAAAGCCAGCAGGACCTTTCCTGCATGGTAGGTCAGTTTCCTCGACAATTCAGCGGCCAGTCTCACCTCTAAAGTCGCAAGTTCCTGAACACCAGTCAGGTCTCTGGGTCGGAGGCCTGAAGTCCAGGGTCGTGGCGGTTGACCTGGAGGCCGGCCTGCACTCTGAGGCATGAGCTGTGTCCTGGGGCCCTGGCCTCCATCACAGGGGCTCAGCTGAGCCTGGCCCCTTTTAAGCAAGAAGGCAGGAAGGGCACTCGGGAGGCAGAACCTGCCTCGAGGGGTGAGTCCGGCACCATTGGGCTGCCCAGTAGAAGACTCCAGTCCTTCAGGAGCAGGGCTCAAGCTTGGAAGGGCATGTCTTCCCCCAAACCAGGATCTTTGGGGTGAACCCTGTGGCCTGATCTCCATGGACCCGGCCTGAGTGCAGTGGGCGGGGCCTTGCGCCATGGGTGGGACTTATGCCATGGATGGGACCTTCTTCCACGGGCGGGGCGTGGCCCTGTGGGCGGGGCCTTACACCATGAGTGGGCCTTTGTGCCATGGGTGTAGCCTTGCACTATGGGAGGGTCTTTACTGGAGTGGGGCCTTGGGCACGACCCTTGCACGGCGGGCGGGCGGGGCCTTGGTGTGGGCAGGGGCCTTGGTGTGGGCGTGGCCTTGTGCCGTGGGCGGGGCCTGCCCCCGTTCCACAGGTGCAGCCGCTGAGCTCTCAGACCCGCGCGGGCAACGGCTCCACGTTGAGCCAAATGCCATCCTCCGTGCGCAGGATCAGCTCAGGCTTCCGTCGCACCTTCCGCGTGCGGTCCACGCTCAGGCGGAAGCGCAGCAGGGTCAGCGCTACAGCGACGCGCATCTCAGCCAGGGCGAAGCTCTGTCCAATGCAGTTCCTGTAGGGGTGGGTGCCGTGAGCCGCTGGACCCGCAGGGCCTCACTCCCGGGACCTTGCGCCCTGCTTCTCCTGCCGCTCGCCCCGGGACGCAGGAGTTACCTGGGCCCTGCCGAGAAGGGCACGTAGGCCAGCGGAGAGCGCTGCTGCGGGGTGTCTGGGTCGAAGCGGTACGGGTTGAACACCTGGGCAGAGGCAGCTGCGGTGAGTCCAGCAGGACAGGGAATGGCAGTGGGAAGTGGTCACTGCCACCCCCCCCCCACACACACACAGGGCCTCTCTGCTGGTGCTTCCTGTCTCCAACTGACTTGTCTCTGCCCTGCGGGGGGAGAGGGGGCGGCTTGGCCCACTGCCCCTTTCTTGCCCAGCTGAAAGCTCACCTTGGAATCGGGCCACACTTTCGGATTGTGGTGGGTCCCATAGATGCTGACCAGGCAGATGATGCCTGTGGGGATGGGAGAGGGGGTCAGGGCAGAGTCTGGAAACTCCCTCGGTGTCCCAGGATAGAACCAGCTGCACCTTTGGGGATGATGCGGCCATCAGGGAGCCGGATGTCCTGGGTGCAGCGGCGCGAGACCAGCGTGACAGGTGGGAACTGGCGCAGGCTCTCCTTTATGCACATGGTGGTGAAGGGCAGCCGCGTCAGGTCATCCCTGCAGAGCGGGCAGCAGAGTGCAGGCTCAGCCCCCAGACTGCAGGCTTGCACATGTGTGCTCCTCTGTGTGGACACAGGTGTGTGCCTGTATATCCGTGCAGATGTTCTGTACCCACATACACATGTCTGCAAACACGTGCCCATGTGCGTGTGCAGGTGTTTGCATGCAGCCTCCGTGGGAACTGCAGAGCTGCACCATTCACTCTAGTCTGTCCCATCACGGTGCGTCCATGGAGGTCAATGGACAGCAGGATATGGACCCCATAGATACACATGTGTGAGCTGTACAGTTACACATGTGAGGGCTGCATAATTGCACATGTGTGGGCTGTGTAGTTACAAAAGTGTGGGCTGAGTAGTCACATAAGTGTGGGCTGTGTAGTTACACAAAGTTACACATATGTAGTTACATGTGTGTGGGCTGTGTAGTCACATGTGTGGGCTGTGTAGCCACACATGTTAGCCACCCTGGGCATCAGACTTTAAAACCAGTACTTCCCCCACCCCCTTGTCGAGCTCTTTTTTTTTTTTTTGCTTTTTTGGGTCACACCCAGCGATGCTCAGGGGTTACTCCTGGCTCTGCACTCAGGAGTTACTCCTGGTGGTGATGGGGGGACCATATGGGTGCTGGGAATCGAACCCAGGTCAGCCACGTGCAAGTCCAGCACCCTCCCCGCTGTCCTAGCCCCGGCTCCTCTCCGAGCTCTTTCCCCCGTGGAGGTGAGAGCCCAGAGCTAGAGCTCATGAGGTGGCCAGGGCCTTCTTCAGCAGCAGTCGTGAGAGAGAGAGGGACCACGGCATCCACCCACCCAAGACTTGGGGGCCGTGTATGGTCAGGCACTGGGGCCCACGCCCCGGCCCCCACTGACCATTCCAGCTCCTCCTGCTCCCGGTCCTTCATGATGTCCTGGATCTCCTCCCGGCACTTCTCTTGGTACTCTGGGTGCTTGGCCAAGTTGAACAGCACCCACGAGAGGCCACTGGACGTGGTGTCATGACCTGCAGGCACAGAGGTCCCAGGGCTGCTGACAGAGCGTGCAGACCCCAGGACCCTGGCCCCTCCCCCGCCTCGCCAGGTGCTCACCCTCGAACATGAAGGTGTCGGCCTCCGCCCTGATGTCCTCGTCGGACAGCTCCTTCCCGTCCTCATCCTGTGGGGGGGGGGGGCAGTGGACTACAATCAGAACTCCCCGCGGGTCAAGGGCACCCCACTGTCTCCCCTCCGGGGTTCGCTGTGGCCTCACCCTGGCCAGCAGCAGTACATCAATGAAGTCCAGGGTCTTGCCCTGCTTGGCCTGCAGCCAGGCCTCGGCGCCCTGGACGTTCAGCGCACGGCGCCGCTCCTGGATGACCTCGGTGGTGAAGTGGTGCACTGTGTCGCAGGCCTCACGGAAGCGGCGCCCGTCGGCCGTGCGGTAGTAGATGAAGTCCAGGTACTGATGGATGCGGTACTGCCTCCGCACGGCCAAGGAGCTCAGCTCGATGATGGCCGAGATGTAGTCGCTCTGCTTCCTGCCAGGGGCCGGGCATGAGCAGGGACGGGAGAGAGGCCGTGACACCCCCTGTGATGTTCAGCCCAGCCACGCCCACTCTCGAGCCAGACCTTTCCGCTGTCCTGTCCAGCCATGCCCAGCGAGCCTTGAGGCCAATTCTCAACCCCCCCATGGCCCTGCCCCGTGCCGGGCCCCACCCTCATGCACCAGCACCCTGCCCACACCTCCCGGCAGGTGACCTTCCCATCCCTGCTGCGGTTCTACCCACTCTGGGTCACAGACATGATGGCACCCACCACCACCCAGCACTGGGCAGAGGTGCAGCTTCAGGAGCCCCGCGCGCCCACCCGCTGCCACCTTCCGCCCGACATTCCAGCACACCTGTCTGAGGTCCCTCCCACCAGAGCTCCCTGCAGCTTCCTCCCTCCAGCCCCTGCCTCCCCTGGGGGCACACGCACTCCTGGCAGTCGCTGTTGTAGCTGAAGACGCATTTCTGTAGACTGTCCAGGGTCATGAGGCTCACGTGCTCGAACATGTCCAGGGAGGCCACTGAGCCCCCCACCAGGCGCCGCCACTTGGCCTGGAAGAGAGAGTGGTGGTGGGCAGGTCTGCGGCCATGGGCACGGGCAGCCGGGACCCGCCACCTCCGCAGCTCACGCACGTGCATGGTGTCGCTGCACTGGTTGAAGATCTTCATGTAGGGCTTCAGGATGTCAAAGTGGAAGGCAGGCGTCAGCATGCGGCGGTGCCGGCTCCACTTGTCCCCCTTACTCAACAGCAGCCCGTCCCCTGGAGCCCAAAGGCTGTGGTCAGGGAGCCCCCAGCCAGAGGGCTTGCCCAAAGCCTGCCAGTCCCTCACTCACCCAGCCAAGGCTTCAGGAACCCGTAGAAGAGGTCGTCCTTGGGGGCAATGGCCGCTGGAGAGAGACAGAAAAATGATGGAGAAAACACAGCTCAGCCCAGGCCCTGCGTGGGAGCCCCTGCTGCTGTGTGGATGCGACCCTGCTCCAGAGTGGCTTCCTAGTGGCCCGCTGCCAGGATTCCCCTCCCCCTCAGGCCTCCCCCAAGACCCCCCCACCCTGCTAAGACTGTCCCAGCTCACCCCCACTCTACCTCTCTCACCTCTTTCACATTTGCCACAGAATCCTGCGTACTTCGCCACGCCTCCAAATCATGTCCAGTCTGTGCACCCACCTCCAGTGACCTTTTTTACCCTCACCTCTGCAGCTCAGGTGGCCGCAGGACACTTCTCACCCTCTTCAGGACAGCCCTGCCATTGCCTCCAGGTCAGGCGGGTCTTCCTGCTCCCACGCCCGCAGCCTCGAGCACCAGCCCTTTCCCCAAGTCCTCAGCGGTCGGGGACCCTTTCCTGTACACCACCTCCTGCACACTCCATGCTGCGGTCTCACAGATCTGCCCCCACACCCTGAGTCACCAGCAGGAGGCTCTCAGAAACAAATTCTCTCCAATACGCAATGTCTTCCCACCACTGTGGAGTCGATCACCAACCAATCAAAAGGAGGTACTATGGTGGCCATGGATGTACTGGTGCTAAATAAGTTTTATTAAATAAATGAAAAACCTAAGAAGGGCTATGTGGCAGGACAAGATGGATAATGGATGGTGCATGGATGGATGGGTGGGTGAATGTGTGTATGTATGTATGGATGGATGGGTAGATGGATGGGTGGGTGGATGGATGGATGGATGGATGGATGGATGGATGGATAGATGTATGGGTGGATGAATGGATGGATGGGTGGATGGATGTGTAGGTGAATGTATGTATGTATCAATGGATGGATGCGTAGATGGATGAGTGGATGAATGGATGGATGGATGGGTGGATGGATGGGTATATGGGTGGATGGATGTGTAGGTGAATGTATGTATGTATGTATGTATCGATGGATGGATGGGTAGATGGATGGGTGGGTGGGTGGATGGATGGATGGATGGGTGGATGGATGGGTATATGGGTGGATGGATGTGTAGGTGAATGTATGTATGTATGTATGTATCGATGGATGGATGGGTAGATGGATGGGTGGGTGGATGGATGGATGGATGGATGGATGGATGGATGGATGGATGGATAGATGTATGGGTGGATGTATGGATGGATGGATGGATGGGTAGATGGATGGGTGGATGGATGGGTGGGTGGATGGATAGGTGAATGTATGTATGGATCGATGGATGGGTGGATGGATGGATGGATGGGTAGATTGGATGGATGGATGGATGGATGGATGGATGGATGGATGGATGGATGGATGGATAGGTGAATGTATGTATGTATGAATGGATGGATGGGTAGATGGATGGGTGAATGGATGGATGGGTGGATAGGTAGATGGATGGGTGGGTGAGTGGATGGATGCATGGATGGGTAGATGGATGTGTAAGTGGATGAATGGATAGTGCATGGATGGATGGATGATGGATGGATGGATGGGTAGATGTGTGGATGGGTGGATAGAGGAATGGATGGGTAGGTGAATAGATGGATAGATAGGTGAGTAGGTGGATGTGAGGGTGGGTGCATGGGTGGGTAGTGGATGAAAGAATATTTACTCATGGATGGATAGATCATTTCATGGATGCATAGATGGGTGGGCGGATAGACGAGTGAGTAGATGGAGGTATGAATGGATGGTTGAAGAATAAATAAATGAGTGTACTGATAGATGGATATATTGTTGCATGGATGCATGGGCGGGTGGATGGATGGTTGGGGGGTTGGATGGATAATGGATGGATGAGAGAGTGAGTATATTAACTCCCCTTCTATCTGCTGAAAAATTTAGGACAGAGCAATCAGGGGCCCTAGGAGGAAGTATGTGGAATTCAAGTAATGTCACTTTTACCCAAGACATGACTCAGACACCCACATACACTCCCCAGGAGTTGGTCAATCACTGACACAGTCATCGTCCACTCACTCTCCCATTCCACACATCTCCCCTGCCCCTTTCTGCACCCAGCCCATTCAGAGCAATGCTGGGGGCCCAGAGCAGGCTCAGCCACACGCCCCACTGGAGGAGCAGTGGGTGGAGTGAGAAAGGGAAGCAGAGGCACGCCAGGTAATTATCAAGAGGGTAAAAGGTGTGTCTAGTGCAAAGGGAGACAGAGAGAGAGTCATGCTGGAATCCAGGGCGGGCTTCTGGAGAGAAAGATGGAGATGCCCTGCCTTTGGGCTCTGGGCCACAGGCTTAGACCTACTGACATCTTTAGGACACTCAGTGCTGCCCCACCCACTCTGTGGCTCCCTCTGTCCCTAAGGAAAAACATGGCTCTTCCATTCTATGTACATGTCTCTAGATCCAGCACCCACTTGGCCCCCACCTCATCACCTGCCCACCCTCACACTTCATCATTCTCAATATCTCTTCCACCTGGATTCTCCTAGCTTTCTCCCACATCTGCTCCTTTGCACAGCAGGACCTTCCAATCCAGAACTCCTATGCATCCTTCAAAGCCCATATTCACATCTCTGGGCAGCCTTCTCCAAAGGCACTGTCCCAACAAACCCTATTCTCTCACCCTTCCTTCCTCTACTGCCTGCCAGCAGATTCTGGGCTGTTCTCCCATGATTATCTCCGCGAGTTGGGGTCACGTAGAGAAGGACATGAGATATGCAGAGGAGGAGGTTCTAAGCCCACAAAGGGCCCATTAGAAAGTTGCCAGCCACTGGGACAGAGCCATATCTGGGTCATGTTCTGGCCATGTCACTAATCGGTGGTGATAACTTGGGTGGGAATCCCTGTGCCTCTCTCTTTCCTAATCTCTCAAAAGAGGATGAAAACAAGTGTGCCTGCCTGGTGGAGTTCCTACATGAACTCAGCGAACCAGCCTTTGCCTAAGCCCCTGAAGTGCCAACTCACCTAAATGGTGCATCCATGGACCACAAACCAATCCACTGCTAGACTACCCTTCAATGGCTGTGCTAAGCCAGCTTCATTTTGGTAAACTCCTATTCAACCCTTAAAGCCCTACTCAAATGGCCCGTCTTCTGGATAGCCCAACTGCATAGAAACCCAGGTGGGATTAGAGAACGGAAGATTTCTTGTAGCTCAGAGGCCCAGTCTATCTACCTGAGGCCCCCAGCACTGGCTTGATGTAGTCAGGATGGACCAGAACCAGCAGCGGCAGGACAGGCCCCATCCACACGAGAATCACATGATGCATGTTGTCCAGCACCTTCTTCTCATCCTGAAGGCCCGATTCATTAGGGAGATACTGCAAGGGACAAGGGAGAAGCATGCGAGATGGCGGGCCCCACTCAGACTCTCTGCGAGAGCCGCGCGCCCCTGGCTCCTGCTCCCCCGTCTCACAGACGAGCACCAGAGAAGCATCGGGGCTCCCACCAGGCCTGAGTCAGAGCAGGTGATGGGGAAACACCAAGAGGCCAGTGGCTGTTGGTCCCTGCCTGCCCGAACCCAGCGCGTCGCTCAAGGGTCAGTCTCCACACGTGTCCAGAGTTTGGAGCTCACCCTGCACACAGAGCTCAGTTCCTGGACCCAGAACCGTCACCCACCACAGAACTGGAGTTCGAGCAGCTGCCCCTGACTAGCAGGACAAAGGACGATCATGTCCAAAGAGTGAGTGCTCAGAGCCACCCCCGGCAGCCGTGTGGGCAAGCCACGTCCTCCCACCTGCCTGTGCCTCCCTGGACGTGGCATCAAGACTTGGGTGGAGCTAGGAGCCTGGTAAGCTGCACCGTCCAGCTGCCATGCACTGGTGCTCAGTGGCAGCTGCCATGCGTGGACCAGGATGGCAGCGTCCAGCCAGCACCCATGATGCCGTCCAGATGCCACACTCAGGCGTGACGGTGTTAAGAGCCAGGAGAGGGCCGCCAGTCCTCCTGTGCACAGACAGGGCGGGGCTCCCCCAGGTCTCTTGGTGCTGGCACGAGGCAGGGTGGGCTTTGGAAAGCACCCCAGGAACTGGGGTTCTGCCCCCTGGGCTAAGGCCGCAGGGAGAGCCATGCAGGGGGCAGTGTCTCCAGCACCAAGTGGTGCTGGTGCTGGACAGGTCCCTGCCGCGTCTGCGAAGGCCATGACCAGGTAGGAGGTACCTGCCGGCATCTGGGGTGCATGTGGGCCGTGTGTAACAGGTGGGGATGATTCAGCAGAACCTTGGACAATGGAGTGAGTCCTTGGGCCCTGCTGTGTGATCTGGGTCAGCTGGTTGGCCTCTCTGGGTCTGTTCAAGGCTCTAGCTCAGGTCTGCGGCTGGGAAACCTGCAGCTCCTCCGCGGAGAAGGAAACCTGCCCACCGCAAAGCTATCCTCACACCCTGCCCGGGTGCCCCTCTCCTCTGCCCTCACGCACCATGCCCAGGTGCCCCAGCAGCCAGTTCCTCCGGGGGGGCTGGGGGAAGCAGCGCAGCTGGCGACAGGTGCGGTAGAAGCCGAGGCCACGCTGCAGGAGGCGCAGCAGCTGGCGGAAGAGCAGGAAGAGCAGGCCGAGGAGCAGCGCAGACACGGCGCCCAGACGGAAGGCCGTCTTCTCCAGGCCCAGGGCCCGCAGCAGCTCTTCAGTGATAGGCAGCATCCTGGGGGGACATGGCAGTGGGCTCCCCAACTGCAGCTGGGCTGGGGGCTGCCTGCAGGGCCTCAGTGCCCACCTCCGTACCAGCCTTCCTCCCAGCGGCCTCCTGTGCCCGGCCCACGGGAGGCAACGTGCCAATTCTGACTTGGCTGGGGCACTCAACACACAAGTGCTCCTCTGTCTGCTTCCAGAATATTCCACCCTCCAGAGCCATCACCTGGGCACCCCCGCCCTCCCAACCACCTCCACTTTCTGCCCGGGAGAGATCTGTTCTGGTCAGCAACGCTCTGTGGTACCCTGAACTCTTTGGGTTGTGGTGGGCAGGGAGGGGGTGTCACACCCAGAGGAGCTCAGAGCTCACTCTTGGCTCTGTGTTCACAGATCACTCCGGGCACAGGTTGGGGACCTTCTGGAGTGCCAGGGATTGAACCTGGGTCGGGTGCGTGCAAGGCAAACACCTCGTTTTCCCCTGTGCTCTCTCAGGCCCATGGTCTCCTGCATCCAGAAGGTGACAACACAGGCACTCACACACACACACACACACTTACACTCACACAGACTCACACACATACTCACACGCTTACACACACATACACACATGCTCACTCACACACATATGCTCGCTCACTCACACATATGCTCACTCTCACATACACACATATACACACATGCTCACACACATGCTCACACATATACACTCACAAGCTCACACACATATTCACACACATACACACACATGCTCACACATACACTCACACACACATTCTCACATAGGCTCACAGACGTGCTCACATACACTCACACATTAGTCACACACATTCACACACACCCATAACACAGTCCTGCACTCACACATTCACAACACAAACTCATACTTGCCCACACACATCCACACAGTTACACACATATCCGCACACTCCCACTCTCCCTACTGTGCCTCCTCCTCCAGGAAGCCGATGAAGCAGCAGCTCTGGCGGCAGTAGCCTGCCCGCCTCTGAGGACTGGGAGGCAGCCCAAGGTGTCCTGGTCCACGCCCAGGGTGGCTGGTTAGTCAGGTTGACCCAGCCCCTCCTCTGACTGTCTTTCAGCTGTGTGGGCTCCCGGAAGGAATGTGGACATGGGTCCTGCTCCCTGCCGGTGTAAGATGTGCTAGGGCCGCGCCCCCCTGGAGCCCCCTATCTTGTAGTGGTCTCCATGTCCAGTCCTGGTGCGCAGGGCGCACCCCCAGCATCTAAGTGAGGGAGAAGGCTGTGACGGTTTCGAGGAAGCACTGGGGCAGTGCCAGCTGGCAGTCTTGGCCCAAGATGGGCAGAAGCTTCCAGCCACTGGCCCTGTTCCGGGCCCAGAACTCCTGTGCCCTGCACCCAGGGATGCCCATGGCCGGAGGTGTCCGAGCTGGGTTCTGGAACACACTGGGGCCTCCCGGAGCAGTGTGCTTCAGGTCCCTCTCCCTGAGTGGCAGTCCACAGGCGACCCGAAGCCTGGAACCGCTCTGAAGCCAGCTGGGCAGCGCACCCCCCCCCCCCGCTCCCCCCCCCCCCCCCCCCCCCCCCCCCCCCCCGCCCCTCAGCCTCGGGTATGCAGGGAGCCGGGAAGACATCCCAGGGGTGGACCCTCGGGGCCTGTGTCTGCCCCAGGGGAGAAGGTGGCCCGACCCCCAGGCGCACGGTGCCACGCGGGGCGCGAACCTGCGCAGACCCCGCCCGAGGGCCCCACAAGACAGGGCGACCCGAGAACAGACCCCGCGCGCCCCGCACACCCCGCCCGCCCCGCGCTCCCCGCACACACCGCTCCCGCGCTCACCCCGGAGTCGGTGCGGCTCTGCTCCCCGCGCTCTGCCCCAGCCCCGCCGCCCTCGCTTTAACCCAGACAGCGCGCCCCGCCCGCTCTCGCCCGCCCCTGGGCGGGACCGACGTGCGACCTAGAGGAGACCCAGAGGATACCCAGCCTGGCACTGGGAACGGACAGGAGGGACCGCACTGGGGAGACCAGCCAGGATTCCCCCAAAGACCCGACCCCCCAGACGCCTGCTGGGCAGACCAGCCCAGATCCAGCTCAGCCCCGTTTAAAGCCCCTCCCTACCCTGGGCCCCCACGTGACCCGCAGCCTCACAGGGTCCCCCTTGGAAACCAGCTTCCTCCCGCCCTGAGCAGCTCCCCATCCCCCATGCCCCCCACGACCTCATCAGCCTTCCCACCTAGCACCCACCACCCTGCCCATGCCTTCTCTCCCAACCCAAGCCCCACGGTCACCTCACAGGGAACTCAAGGACCTTGCATAGACCAGATACCCTAGGGGGATGTGGGAGGGGAGGGACCCTCCAGGCTGTGGTGCAGCCCCTGGGGTCAGGCAGGAGCAGCAACAAGCCCTGAGTTCTGAGTTCCTGAGCCCCAAGAAAGGGAATCGGGGTTAGGGAACTCCTCCAGGTTTGACCATCCCAAAGCTCAGGATCAGTGGGAAGTGAAGTCCCAATACCCGTCTTGGCCGGGGGCAGCAGACACTGCAGCTGACTGGGAGCAGCCTTCAGTGTGTGGGCAAGAGGCATGCCGCCCTTGGCACACTGCAGTGCCAGCTTCACTCTTGGGCACTCCAAGCCCTGCCTGAGGTCCCGTGCCAGCCCCAGCACCACAGATGCTGCCAGGGGCCAGGAGCCCTGGCCCTGCCAGCTAAGCCTGTCACCAACTCCTGCGCAGACACTTCTCTGCCTCCAGCTGGCAGGCCCCACCTGGCCACTGAGGCCGGACTGTCCTGCAGGGGACCCTGGAGCAAGAGAGCCCATGCACAGCCCAGGCTGGGCATGGGAGACAGGCAGAGAATCGGCCCATTCATCCGGGCCCCAACGAGCTCCGAGGGTCTGCACGGGCCTGCATGTGTGCGGTCCAGGGTCTACCACTGGCACTGACAAGTGAGAAAAACAAAGATCAGCCCCTCCTGGGTCAGAATTCAGAGAGGGGAGCAGATACCCCACAGCGGGGAGGGGATGCGGCCTAGGCACAGCAGCAGAAGAGGACCCCACCATTGGAGGCTGATGGTCAGGTCCTAAGCTGAAACCTGAAGGACAAGAATTAGCATTGAGTCACATTGTGCAGCTTAAATACATATAATTTTGTGCGTCAATTATGACTCAGTAAAACTGGGGAGCCGAAATCAGCTTGAATGAGGGAGTCAGTGAGGAAATAAGCAGGTGAGTGTCAGGAACGAATAAGCAGGAACGAATGAATGCATGGATGAGTGAATGAATGAGGCTGTGAGTGAATGAGGTTGTGAGGAAGTGAATGAGTGGATGTGTGAGGGAATGCGTAAAGTCTGTAGGGAGTGAATGAATGAATGTGTGGATCAGTGAATGAGTGATGCACACCTCACAGACGTGCTCCATGGGCCCCGTCACTTCAGCTGCTCCTGAGAACGACCCGGTCTTCCAATGCAGGCTGTTCCTATGCACAAACGAAATGTAAATGTGTGCATATGTGTATGTATATGTGCGTGTATATGTGCCTCCAGGCACGCATGTAATAACCAACTCTCAGGAAGAGTTTGTGGTGATCCAGGAAGAGGTGTGGTGGGCTGGGCACCAGGACTCTGGGGGCCGAGTGCAGGCTATAGCCACATGTGCCCCCAAACCCCCACGGCCCTCAAACCAAAGGCTACTGAACTGTTTTGTGTGGTTTGAAGGGAAGCATGTGGGGAGGTGAGTGCCGAAGGGCGGGTAGGTATGCGCAGATGGTAGAGAGGGAGGAGAGGCTGAAATTTCAGAAGCCGTCTCCACACCGACAAACACCCCCCCCCCCGCCCCATCTCTCCCCAGGCCGAGCACTCGAGCCGGAGCTGGCTTCCCTGGAGGGCACGGACATATGAGCCTCCCTTGTGGGCCAGAGCCCCCACCTGCAGCGGGATGGGGGGGGCGTGAAGATGCAGATGATACAAATAATTCAGGCTGCACCCTTCAGAGGGAAGCAGGCAGGGAAAACATGTCAGGTGAAACCCAAACGTGGCAGGTTGGGTTTCAGCAGGACCTGGATGGGGCAGGACGGGGCCGGTGGCCGTCCCCAGGGAGGAGTGGAGGCCAGGAGAGGCGGCTGGGTACAGGGAAGGGCCTGGAGGGTCAGTGCGGTCAGCAGAGGGAACCGTGGGGGGCCTGTCCCGATGGGGTTGCAGGTGAAGTTTATTTGTGCTGTTTTAGTCTGGGGCCACACCCAACAGTGCCCAGGGGGTCAGACCTGGGTCCCCCACTCTCTCTGTTGCCCTGGTTGGTGTGTGTGGGGGGGGGGGATACATCCTTCAGTGCTTGGGTGTGGAGTGCAGACACAAAATGGGCATCAGGAGCAAACGGGCAAGTGTTGTTTCCATCCCATCGCCATGTCCCCTCTCCACACTCCGTCCCCTCATCCATTACATAAATCCCCAGCTCTGCCCCTCAGCTCTGGCGCCTCCTGGTTCGGTTCCATCTTCCATCGGTGCGGGTTTCCGTCTCATGTACGTGGGTGAGACCTCCCCGCTTCGCCCACCCCAGCCGCCTTCCACTGCCATGTCCCCTGGAGCACCTTCCCTGCCAAGCCCACCCTTCTTAGACACGGGGGGCGGCAGGGACGCTGCTCACAGAGCCCAAGATGCCCCCTCACAGGATGAGCTGCCCACCTGTGAGGCTCTGGAAGTCCCTGGGCCAGGAGGACTGAACAAGCCCCAGCAGTGCTCACGGGAGCATGTGGCCTGGAGGTGGCATGGGAAGCATGTGGGAGCCAGGGACTGTCAGGGCCAGCAGCAGGTCACCAGCATGGCAGGCCAGGAGGCAGGGGAGGGGCAGGACAGAGCCAAGAGAAGGCCACGCATGTCTGTGGCGGGGGTTGGGGTGGGGTACTGGGCAACTCCCAAGCAGAGACAGCCCCGCACAGCCTGGTGGGCCGCAGAGACCCAGTCGGAAGGCCAGACACCCACAGAGGCACTGTGGGACCTAGGCACACCGCAGAGCTGGCCCTGGCCACCAGGCGCCAGTCCTCTGGGCCACCTGAGCTCAGGGTGCTTCCTTTGGGGGATTCCGAGATTCCGAGTGATGTTCCAAGGGTCCAAGGGACAGCATAAGGGAGATGGCTCCCCCTGCTTCCATCCCTGGAGCTTCGTGTCCCTAGCCACTGACAGGGGTCACTCTGAGCACTGCCTGGGGTCGCCCCTAAACAAGCAAAAAGGTGATGTTTGGGGGGTCAAGAGATGGCTCCAAGGGTGGTTAAATGCACGGGCACCCCCGGCAGCCAACAGCCCCCTGCTAGCTCAGGAGAGGAGATCGTGGGGGAGAAAGGGGAACTAGTATGTTCTCTCTGCTCTCTGTGGGTCGCAGGGTTCTGACAGCAGGAAGGAGGAGGGCTGCTCTGAGGGGACAAGCCGGACTGCAGGGCTCCTGGGAGCACTCACACGCCTCCAGCCCCAGGGGCGCAGCAGGCAGGCTGCATGGCCCAGGCCTGAAGAGGTGGTGGCCCGGAGCCTCATGGGACGGAATCTGGGCACACCTGCCCAGGTTTGTCCTGGACCCTGGAGTTTCCCCTGGAGATGGAGAAGCAGGGAGAAGGTCAGCGCACGCACGGGGAGGGGCAGACAGGAAGCAGAAGGAGAGGGAGAGTCAGATTCCTGGAGGGCAATGGCACAGGCTCGAAAGCAGGGGGTGACTGGAAGGGGATGGAACTGGGGAACCACAGTGCAAAGAGACCCTCCGTCTACCCATGTGACTTGAGGCAGAGGGTCTAGTGGTCAAGCGAGCAGGGCAGGTGAGGGGGGTAGGGGTCAAGGTTACTGTCATCAGGTCTGGCCTTTGGCTGCAGTGACCCAGCCCTCCCCTCCTACACACACACACACACACACACACACACACACACACACACACACACACACACACACACACATCCTGTTTGCTTTTCCCAAGAGCTCCCAGGATTAGCTTCCACCCACCACCATCAGGGCGCAGGGAATTGGGGAATGAACATACACTGCTATCACCCACACCTAGGCCGGACTCTGCTCAGCCAATCAGAAGCCCATCGCCCACACTTCCAGCCAATCCAATGCCAGCCTCCCGCTCTTCATCCAATTAGCTTCTTTCCTGCTCTCTCAGGCACGCCTACCCTTCAGTCAATCAGACTCTGCTTCCTTCCCTTCAGCGTCCAGAAGCTGCTCCAGGCAATTGGACTCTACCTTCCTGGTCCTTAGCCAACTACTCACTGAGCTCTCAGCCAATCAAACTCTCAGCGCCTGTTTCCCTCCAATCAGACTGTAGCCACTAAATCCCCCAGCCTAGCCTAAAACACCCTCTTATACTTCAGCCAATAAGAATGTTCCTCAGAAGACGCTGAAAGTACTCAATCTTCCCAACTACAAGTGAAGGGGTCACCACCTTTTATTGACTGATTTTGGGTTTGGTGCGGAACCCAGGTCTGCCGCGTGCAAGGCAAGTGCTTGACTCACTGCACTGTCTTTCCAGCCCCTTTTGGTGTGATCCTGAGGCCCTAACCTTAAACAGGACCTCTCCTGAAAAAGCTATTGTGTAAGCTCCCTTCTTTCTTCTCCCTCAAGCCCCTGAGACTTCCCTCCGCTGAAATGCTCAACCCTGGCTGACCAACTCCTATTCATCCTGCAGAGCCCTGTGGACGCAGCCCCTTCTTGGGACTCTTTCCTTGCTGCCCAGGCTGTACCCCGGCTTCTCCATGGCTCCCACTGCTTGCCCAGTCTTAACAACGGGGCTGAAAGTGGCCACAGGAGCATCCAGCCGCTCACTGACCACCGTGTCTCGGTGCTGCTCCCAACCTGGGGCCACTGAGCAGGCGGGTGCCTGTCCC